ATAAACCCCTGGGGATGGGGGGTTGGGTGGGATCGTTGGGTTTATAAGAAGTTTATAAGAGCAGTTTATAAGAAGCCCAGTTCCATGGAAAAACTGTGACTTTGGCAACTCTGCTACTGGAAAACATTAGGTGATGGTTTTAATGGTTAAAAGCTGATGGATTGTAATGCTTGTAGAGTGAAAGCATTAGAAATTCTGTGATGCTTCTATTGTTTGTTTCTTACCAGGGAAAGTTGTCCTATTCAGCTTGCATCGTGTTAATATTTTTTCGCATATAGTTAGGCAAATGCAGTTCAGATTTAGTTTTTGTTTAGTTCTGAAAAAAATAATAATAATTTGCTACTGTTGTGTCATTGACATTTGATTCAGATGAAGAATATATTACACCTTATATGATGTGTTTTTACAGGAAGTTAAAGATGAAGATAATGTGGAATATGCACCCATCACCATAAGAAGATGATCGAACTTTAATCTTTTCTGAGTTCCAGGTTGAGTTTTGGGAATGGTGAGAATCACCACATGTGGCACTAATTCTGTCAAAACATTCTGTACACAGTCAAAGATGATATTTTAAGCAAGTTTTTGAATTTAGTTGTAATCATCAAAAACTGAGTCAAAATAAACGATGCTTTTGTCACATCTAACTGTACAGAGATGTGGTTTGATCTGCTGGGTGGACAAACCGGTTCTGCATGAACACATGCTATTATTGGATGTTTGTGGTTGATGTCAGTTTATGTGTGTTTGTCTTGATGTGTCAGTAGCGTGTGGTTGAAAGGTGTTTTTCCATTCCTGCCCATATGATGCTCACAGTTTGACTTTTGCTCAACACAAAACAGCTTCACTAAATACTGAACCCATGATCTCACAGATAAATAATCCAACATCTGAGTAAAAATATCATATACTATGTATTTGTGAAGAATCAAGATATGTATTTATGATACATATATTAAAAAAGATAGCCTTTTTGGAATTTGTATTACTTTTAAATGTAACTTTCCCCAACCCTGGTTACCACAGTATCTGGAAAATAATGCTATTTTATCACCATGTCAATCTGGATTCAGGCCTAATTATTCAACAACTACTTGAACTCATTAATGATTTATTCTCAGATTTAGATACTTGAAATCTTACGGATGTTTTTGTGTGTTAATTGTTATGTAGAAGAGTGTTGTTTTATTCAGGATGTATTATTTTTGTTTTGCTTTTTTGTATAGGATCCCTGATGACTCTTTATCTTCAAGAATAAATATTTTTGGTATAAGCATCTCTCTAGATATTATGACCTCATATACTGAGTGCTAGATTCAGTAGTTATTTCCAGCTCTAGCTATTTTATGTGTCATATCTTAAGGCGTTTTATATATATCCTGTTTTTCTCTGTACTGTATGTACGTATGTATGCATGCATGTACCAAGAGCTCCTTAAAAACCACAACAAATTATTTGTGTGTTTGTGCACACTTGGCGAACAAAGCTAATTTTGATTCTGTTTTTCTCTGTCAATCACTGGATCAACTACGCCCATGTTTAGAGTAATCGGTGAGAAGAGTCAAATAAATAAAAACTTATTTGAAACTGCACAAGCTCAACTTTTTGAGTTGATTTTCTAAGCAGTTAAATTTCTCTTGGAAAAGTTAAACCCCAAAGTATGAATTATTAAAGTGAGCATAGATGTAGATAAATAAGCAAGCAAGCAAATAAATAAATAAACAAACAAACTCACCTTAAGGGAACTTCATGAGGAAATGGTGAAGATATGCACCCGCTCCAGCTCTGCAGTTGCCATCTGGACAAGGGAGCAAAACACAAGAGGGGTAATATAAATTTTAATGGGGAAGAAAGGTGATTTTAGTGACTTTGAACGTGACATGGTTGTTGGTGCAAGACATGCTTTGTCTGAGTATTTCAGAAACTGCTGATCTACATGTGATGGCTCCTTTTAGCGGGATAACTTACCATGTCACAAAACTCAAATCATTCTCAAACTGGTTTCTTGAACATTACAATGAGATCACGATAGTCAGCTAGCCTCCAGTCACCAGATCTCAATCCAATAGAGCATTAGCGATTGATGCTTTCGAAGCACTGCTTTTTGTAAATCATTTGTTTCAAACAAGTGTTTTGGGGCATGTATCAAACTTCCAAAGTCACGTTTTCAATAAACAAGGCTTAACCAAGTCACAACAGTTTCAAAATGGCAGTGATTCTCTGGTTGGGGGTTGATCTCTGTAAACCTATGATAGCCACTGCACCACATTAGCAGTTTTGCTGTAGTAACACTACACTATCATAACTAATAACAAAATGTAATAATAACACTCCTAATATTCTATAATAATGACAGCATCTTGCATGGTGTGCCCCTGATATAATCTAGTGTGTTTGTGTGCTACAAGCAGTGTGCAAACCGTATTACAAGCGCCATCTAGTGTTGATTTACTATTTATCTAATAGAAAAACATGAATTAAAAAGCTTTAAAAATGAGTTGGTTAGGTGCTGTATTCATATCTTGATTGAAGGTCAAAGGCTGAATCCTGAAATGCTTAAGGTTGAGGTTTAATGCATTTCTGATAACTCAAAAATGCAATTTATGATAAAGTCCCAGATTCCAGCAAAGAATGTTTTGTCTTTATTATACACAGCAATTTAAGGGAAAATTAGCCTGTTTAATCCCAATTTTTTCCAAGACATGAAAATATCCAAATGATGTGTCATTAGTAACCCTTTGCAATAATCAATAATCATTTTTTGAAAAAAAAAAATATATTTTTTGGTAAAGTGTGTGCAAAATTGTGGTATATATACACTGAATTAACATATTTCTGAGGTCATCAAAATTTGTGTATATCTCAGCCCAGCTACTTTAAACTCTGTTTGATCACATGGGTTACTATTACGCATAAAACCCCTTATACAACACTGATAGGAATACTGAGAAAAAAAGACAAAAAAAAAATACAACCATCAACAGATTTCAAAATTATTTTAATGTAACATCAAAAAATGTTTATGTAAGTGCAACCAGTATTAAATCATCAATATAGTGCAGGAAATGCACTAAAACACCAGTCACTACCATTTTTTTGAGCTTTATAAATTAAAACCTTCTTTATGGTCTCTATTGTGGGATTAAATTAATTAAGGCAAGTCACTACAGGTGAATAAGGTAAATATTATATCACCATATCTCTTCAGATGATCAATCACAGTACACCAAGACAATTTTTTACTAAACTGTTGTTTAAATGTCCAGATATAACATTATCCAAGTATATATGCTCCAATTTACATATATCTTCAAATCAGAAAACTGAACACTGGATTAAGCCAGATTCAAAACGTAAAAATTATTGTTTCATTTTGTTGACATTTTAAAGGTTTTTAAAGAGGGGATTTTGGATTTCTCTTCATCAATCAGAAATGGCCAACCACAATAAATAAATAAATAAATGTGTAAAACTCCATCAATAAAAAAACTTCAAAATATTGATAGGAATAAATCTGGAGAAAAAAGTATGGTTTGTGTAAGTAATGCTGAAGTTGATATATCTGGCTCAGTGCATAAAAACACCTTTCAAGATATGAAATCTCAAATAAAAAAATGCAATAAAACAAACTCTTTAAAGTGTATTTTAGATGTTTTCATTCCATTAGTCTAAAAGAAGACAAGTTATGGAAGTAACATTTTTAAATTGCCCAGTGCATGTAAAAACACTGGATTTGCCTGTAGTGTCTGGCCTTTATGTCATTTACCACAGAATAAAAAAACTAAAAAAATACAATATACAAATATATACATATACAGTATATACAAACAAAATACTCGCCAGACTTTTAATATATACATATATATATGGCGTCCATAGAGGGCTGTTTGCTTTAGTTTTTTTTAAGCAGAAAAGGGGACTAATGCCACCCACTGCACAATTTAAGTTGTCAGATCACTGCCCCTTTTACACTACACAACTGTTTTTGGGTATCTTGAAGTTATTGCGTTTTGCACACTACATGATGCATTGGCGACTGGGTGTAACACGTTGCACAATATTTCATTAGGAAGAATCCTCCACAAATCCTCATCTCATGCAGAAAAGGTGAGTTTTGAGTGAGAAGTGAAATGACGTAATGATGCAAAGATCACACAAGAGCTGAACTCTAGTTTGAGACTGGAATTCTCCCTTGCCCTGCATCATGCTCTCTCATTGCCAATGTCATTTCAAGTTAAAAAACAGTCGCAGATGGGTCCAGAATTTTAGCTTGCTAAATATTTCTCGGCATCAGTGATGCATTGGCACTTCTCTCAGATTGCGTCTTTCATAATTCACTCCATGCGACTGTCACTCACTTGAACGAGTACAGATTGTGTAATGTATACCCAGTATAAAGGAAGGAGCATTGCCAAAAGAAAGAAAAAAATAAAAACAGATTTATATAAACACTTGGCACTCTATTTTACACATACAACAGTGTGGTGTCCGTAGGCTTTGCACCCCAGTTTATATCGCTGGCAGTGACACTAATCTTCAGACACAAAGAACACAATAATTACATGATTTAAAAATCACAGGACAATTACAGCACAGCTGAATATGCTTCATGAACAGAACTAAGATCCAGAAATGGAGAAAACACCTGTAATGGACAGATTGGGGGAAGTCGTGGCCTAATGGTTAGAGAGTCGGACTGGTAACCCAAAGGTTGCGGGTTCGAGTCTCATACCGGCAGGGATTGTAGGTGGGGGGAGTGAATGTACAGCGCTCTCTCCCACCTTCAATACCACGACTGAGGTGCCCTTGAGCAAGGCACCGAACCCCCAACTGCTCCCCGGGCGCCGCAGCAAAAAATGGCTGCCCACTGCTCCAGGTGTGTGTTCACGGTGTGTGTGTGTTCACTGCTGTGTGTGTGCACTTTGGATGGGATAAATGCAGAGCACTAATTCTGAGTATGGGTCACCATACTTGGCCACATGTCACGTCACACGTCACATGATGTGAAAGACTGAACATTTATGCTACACATGGTTTCCATTAGCAGTCCAATTAGAAGCATTGGCCTCAGGAGGTATAAATGGAGTCGTACTCTGATCAGGAGGCAAGACTTCCAAATTAATCTCCTGTAAGAAAACACACATTCACAGAAAGTTAAAGAAATAAGCAGGACTAATGATTCATTTACACAAAAATACTCAGTGTTGTTTTTTCTGATGTTTGCAGAATGTATGGTAGTTTCCTTTTCCTAAATATTTAACACTTCTTAAATGTTTCTGTTAATGAATCTTCAGTCTCCACCACACTGTTATCTTTTGTACTGCAGTAATAGAAAAAGATCGCATGCCATAGGGTGTTTATATTATTGTTATTTGGGAGATATCTGAATGATTTTTTTTTATTTTTTTATAAATGGCCTCACTGGTGAAGTTTTGCCTTGGTATGAAAAAAATAAAATAAAAAGGAGAACAACAGATTCACCGTGAACATTTGTTACACCCAGACTCTAAAGTGAAGTCAGAACGTGTTAAATAAATAACTCACAAAAAACTATTATATAATAACAATATTTAAAAAAAGAAATACTGTTCTTCATTCTGAGTAAAACAGTACAAAAGCAGCAGTATCTTAAAGAGTCAATTATTGTTGGTGTTTCTGTGTACTGATTTCTAAGTTTCTCACATATCTGAATCTGTGGTTATTTATTTATTTAAGCAGACAGATTCAGTCCTCATAGTATCTCACCTGATCACGATTGTTCTGTGTGTCTGTTTGGAAAATAAACAATTAAACATTACTTTGGTTAATTACAATACAAAATATATATTTTCACATCTTTTAAATAATATTTCCACATAATACATCCCATGCTGTATGTAATACTCACTTCTCCTTCTTGCTCTGCGATAGAGGAACACAGCAGCAATGAGCAACAGAACAACAACAACAACAACAACAACAACAATTCCTGCTATAGCACCTGGAGAAAGACCTGAATCTGGAACAGATAAAGACAGACAGTCATTATTACTAGAGAGTGACTGATTATCCATACAGTATTTAACAATATCTTTAATGTATAATTTACAACTTTCTACTTTGTTCATCAGCTGTATGATATAGATTTAACTGATAAATGGCACCTTCTGGTGTTTTTAGGAACAGCAACTAAAGCAGCATCACAGCACTGTGAGCTCAACTAGAAACAGCAGTATGTTGCAGTATGACTCTGGCTAACAACTTGAAAACTGTCACTTTGAGATTCATGTGAAGATGATACTGACAATATACAATACAAATTATATTTTAACACCGAGTCATAGATCACTTTCAAACAGGCCACGATAATATTAAATACATTTATATTAACTACATTATTTATTACATAATTAAAAATAACATTAACTTGACAATAATTTTGGACTATATTCTAAAGTTAGAGGGCAAAGGCATTGAATAACTAATTTATACTCACCAATGACAGTTAAAACAGTTGATATTCTGCTAATACTGAAGCTGCCGTTTCTGCTGTTGATCTGTAGTTTATATTCTCCAGAGTCTGTGGTTCTAGTGTTTGTGATGTTCAGTGATCCAGCCTGATGATCCAGCTTCAGTCTGTCACTGAATCTCTCTTTACACTGATCATCTGTACAGACCTCACTCTGATCTCCTGTGATTTCAGCCATGAGAATGTCACTAAAATACCACGTCATCACACCATTCAGGTTTTTTACTACACCAGGATCTAAAGTAACAGATTCTCCCTCCTTCACCGACTTTCCCTTCATTTTATCTCGTTCAGCAGCAGAAACACCTGAAACACAAACCAACAGATGATGTAGGATCGTTTTGGAGGAAAAAACCTCAACAAGATGACTGATTAATCATAATATAAGAAAACTAGTAAAACAAGTACTTCACATACTCTTTCTAGACTTGGACTAAAATGCTAAATTTCTCTATATGTTGTGCTTACGTTGAACATACATCCCGGACAGCTAAAACACAATAATTAAGAAAAATTAGATAAGAAAATGTGACCAGAGATGATTTCAGAGATTAGAAATGGAAGTAATTCTGATCTGTTTAATGATACAGGTAAAGAGGAGCTTGGAATACCACTGTTATAATAAACATATAAAATCTGTTTCTAAATATTCAGGAAATGACTCACCATGTACTGAAACATTGAAGATCCTGTCACTGACGCTGCCACTGTTGATGACCTTTCTTTTGTAAACTCCAGAGTCTGTGTTTGTGATGTTTGTGATGGTCAGAGATCCAGTCTGATGATCCAGCTTCAGTCTGTCTCTGAATCTCTCTTTACACTGATCTTCTGTACAGATTTCTCTCTTTTCTCCAATGATTGCAGCGATTTGAAAGTCCTTAAAATACCATCTCATCTTTTCTTGATGATTTGCTTCAATATTAGTGTGTAGAGTGACTGAATCTTGCTCCATCACAAACACCGACTCTTCATCTGCACCAACACCAGACACACCTGGAAGAGAACAAATGAACATTTAAATAAATCTGTGATAGTGGGACTAAATTACACAACACCTAAGCACTTTCAACATGTTTCAGACATATTTCACTGTCTAAAAAAAATAGTAGATTTAAATATGTCCAGTTTGCATTCATTTACAAGTGTAGTAGACTATCAAAACTAGACTTCTTATGTCTCGCCTGCTTCTCCCTATGAGGGGTGAGATTTTGATTAGGTGTGGGTGTGGGCTTTAGAGATGGAGTCCAATCAGGTAGCAGTATCCCTACAGCAGTTTTCTCCCATTGTTCAGTTCAGTTAGGCATATGGTATTTAATGATTTATAAACAGCATTTAACAGATTATTCTTCTAATAAAACATTTGCAATAGGTTTGTAAAAGGTGCTTCTATTTGCATGTTTGACCTGAGATTATGTTGAATCTAAAGTTTTGACCAGCAGATGTCACCAGCATGTGATGTGAATCATTGTCCGAAACAATTGATTCAAAGTTTGAAAAAGCTTCATTTCTACCATCACGAATCATAACCCATAATGGGAAATGCATTGTGTAAATAAAATAGCAGTGTCTGAATCTGTGGGTGAGCACGTTACTGATCTTACAAAGTTGAAAAAGGGCACCTATTCATCTTTATCGCTCTTAACACTTTCTGAACCGTGGTATTGTGCCAGAAATATGGGTATCTGTATCGAATTGTATTAATGTAGACATGTATTATATGTACTAAAAAAGTAAAAGAACATAATTGCAGTATTTTTTGTGATTAAGCTATAGCGTTTGGGCATTTATACTACATTTATTTAGACTACTGTTTTTCATACAAACACCTAAAAACTTCATTCATTCATGTTACTATGGAAGACCATTGGTTAATAAAAAAAACAACAAAAAAAAAACAAACATTTAAAAATGAGGTTGCTACAATTTTTACAGACGTTACTGATTTTGATAATGAACAATGTGCATTTCTAAGAGACACAAATGTATATTGGTTACTGAAATGTTCTGATATAGCCTACAGTAACAGAGGTAAACACTGTGAGCCAGTGATTTTAATAGCAACAGCATTGGTGAACAAATATGAGCTGGTCACTTGCATGATTTAATATGAAGCGTGCGTAACGGTCACGTCCGTAACACATAATTAAGGTTGTTTAGAGCAAGTAAGTGAGATGAATTGTCCATCATAATTAGCACGGACATATTTTGGCTTTGTATATGAAGTTTGACATCATTTCTATTAATATTTATTATACAGTATAAACTTTATATTTAAATCGTTACGGACGTGACACAGCACATGACTTCCTAAATGTATCGCTTATAAATTTACAAGGCAGTGCTGTCATAAAGTGAGTGTATTTATTTCTCATGCATGCCTCCATCTTTCTGCAAAATGCTTACCGTTAACAAAGTATAAAAAAAGGGAGTCTTTGATCCCTCTTTTGAAAGCATGAAATATGGTTGACTGAAAATTTTACTTTTCTATCTGTGCAAACCTCATATGTGGTGAATAAACAAAGCAATGTCCTTAATTTCCCTGACAGCACATCAATACAATAAAATACAGACCTCAAAGGACAACTTTGAAAGGGTTTTATTATGTTGGTAAAAAGTTTTTTTTCATGGCAAGGTTGACATTTGCATGGAATTGCTCTATTAATATTTTCAGGCAAGACAAACCTGTTTCTTGATTTGAAACAATAGCACTCGTTAGAACACGCATAAACAAATAAATATTTTTTTTATTAAGATATTTATTTTGTTAAGGAATATTAATGCTCTGGTTTCTACAACTTTAACTTGAGCAAAAATCTGGCTTTAAAGTTGAAAGAAATAATGATTTGACATTTATCGTATAATTATTGATATCGACTGCTATGAAAAAGTTACAATGATAATTTTTTTGGCCATATCACCCAGCCCTAGTTTAGATTCTGAAAAACAAAATGTATCAGGGTTTTCATAAAAATATGAAGCAGCACAACCTTTTTTTAACTTATTCAAACATTTTTTTCTTGAGCAGCAAATCAGCATATGAGAATGATTTCTGAAGGATCATGTAATGTAGGAGTAATGATGCTGAAAATTCAGCATTGCATCAGGAATAAATTACAACTATGTCGACTATGTAACACTATAGTTATTTTTCATAAGGTTTCCTCGAAGGTAAATCTCTGTATTTTATCTACCCTTAAAAGGTGCATACTATCTTATGGTACTAATGCACCCTTTTAGGGGCAGATAAGGTGCCCATTTCAGATTACTGTCCTAGTGAGGAGCTCAAAGTACTATTGAATTTTTACAAAAAAACACATGCCTTTCAAATATAATGCCAAGTGGGTATAATTACCCATTTTATTCTAAATGATCAATTCAGTTTAGTACATCGCTATTGGAACTGATATCAGCAATACTGGCCTTGAAAGTATCAGAAAATAAGATAAGTGCTATCGCCCACCCATACAGCTCATTCACAAAGATTTGAATTTGGTGTGACCCAGGCTGGGCTTCACAGGGGGGCCATGCCCACCCAATCAGGAGCTTGGCCCACCCTGGCCTCTGCTTAAACTAGGGATGTCCCGAGCCGATCTCAAAGATTGGGATTGAGAACGATAAAGCATTTTTTTAACTGATCGGTATCTGCTCTCCTTAGCCCGATCCACTGGTGATTCTTTAGCTGTCATGCCGGTGTCATGCAATAGGTGGCGTTATGGACTTTTAACAGTCCACCGTCATTAAAAAAAAAAGAAGATGCTGAAATGTGAGTGTGTGACGCGTGTGAACAATGAGGTCTGATCTAGCGTGTCACACATGTTTAAGATTCAGTGTTTAGCATATTTGATGTGCACATTGTGTAAGGAATCTCTCTACAGTAATATATTTTACTATTTACTTTTATCTGCCATCAGACTATCTGAGACATCGTCGTCATAACGTGTTGCTATGGTTGCGTCTTGCTTTGGACTTTACTGATAGACTGGCATTCGCAAACTTCATGCTTTCTAACCTTATCTCAACTTTTTATTCCTTTATGTTGCAATTAATCTGCTTATTGTACATATAAAATACAATAAGTTTTTATCAGTAGTCCCATGTTAATAATTTTGATCACACAGTCTGTTTATAATGTCTATCATTGTGATTAGGGCTGCACGATAAATCGCATGCGATATTTAATGTGCATCTTGTCAGTAAAGCCGCTTCTGTAATCAGCGGTAAATCTCCATCACGTGCGTGCTCTCACATGAAGCAGCATTTACTACACAGAGCCGTTGTTCACTGACAAGCTGCGCAAAACCACGTTCATATATAATCGTGGTTTTGCGCAACTTGTCAGTGAACTGCAGAGTTAAATAAAAAAAATTTAAAAAACTTAATGGATGCAAACATTTACATTTAGCAGACGCTTTTATCCAAAGCGACTTACAAATGAGGAAAATAGAAGCAATCAAAATCAACAAAAGAGCAATGATACGCAAGTGCTATAACAAGTCTCAGTTAGCTTAACGCAGTACACATAGCAAGGGTTATTTTTTTTATTATATAATAAAAAGAAAAAGAAAACAGATAGAATAGAAAAAGAATAGAGCAAGCTAGTGTTGAGGCCTTTTTTTGCTTTTGTTAATTGTATAAAAAAAACAAAACAAAAATAGAATACAAAAAGATTAGAAAAGCTAGTTTTTTTTTTTTTTTTTTTTTTAAACAAGCTGTTAGTAAATTAATAGAGTGCAAGTCTAAAGGGAGCAAGTTTTTTAAGAATAGAGAGTGCTAGAGTTATAGGGTCAAATAAAGATGGAACAGGTGTGTTTTTAGCCGTTTCTTGAAGATGGTTAAGGACTCAGCTGCTTGGATTGAGTTGGGCAGGTCATTCCACCAGGAGGTAACAGTTAATTTAAAAGTCCATGAAAGTGATTGTGCTTCTTTGGGATGGCACAATCAAGCGACATTCACTTGCAGAACGCAAGCTTCTAGAGGGCACATAACACTGAAGTAATGCATTTAGGTAAAGGGGTGCAGAGCCAGTTTGGAGATAATAATATTGTGTCATTAATGTTAATTCAAGAACAAAAAATAAATAAATTTAAAAAAATCACTCTGCTCAAATATGTTGTTAACTTAATGTCTTCAGCCTTAATAAGGATTAGCTAATCTATCCATTATAGTATCTCTTCCCTGATTTACTTGTATCTTTGTTCTATTGTATTTATTTGTACTATTGCTTGTAATATGTTCATTTGTTCTTATTGTTTTACATGTCTTTAATTAACAATTTTTATTAAAAAAATACTATTTTTGTTTTTGTGGCAAGGCCGTTAAAAATTTTGCCAGGGCAAATAAAATCTGAACCAGTAAAAAAATGCCTTGCCTTGGTGTTGTGTCCTGTGTATTTAAAGAGTCACTTTCAAGACGGGTCCCTTTTGTTAAATAAAATAAACATAAAAAATCTGTAACGGGAAAAATAAAGCAATGTTAAATCCGTCCCACCAGGAACGTCGCTTGGCAAAGGATGTTGGTGAGCAAAGCCCCGTTTGCGTATAATAACCGGTCAATTATATTTATTTATTTATACGAAGGGAAAAACATGCCCACTACTGGTATTCTGATGAACCGGAACTGCCTTTATTTGCATATGTCCCTTTTTGGAAGACAGGTCACATGACATGAGAAGTGTGAGGGTACACCCAGAACCGTAGAGAGAGTAACTCTCAGTAACTCTGCATTGACTCATAACTCTTTCTATGGCTCTGGGCACACCCAAAGTTAACAAGCCCCGCATCTACCTTCCATTTTGAAAGCTCAAGTCCATTTTACAAAATCGTGCTAACAAACATAAACATGATAACAGAAGAGCTGCCAGGGACAGAAAACAGACTTTAAACAGACTGAAATTAAACGCTGCCACGCATTGTTAAAACAGCGAACATAATGTGACCCTTGACATTTATTTTAAATAACTAATATTCATTAAAAAGCTCTCTGTTTAATAAGTGTGGTAGGTAATTGTGACCCAATAGCTGCCTTATCCGTTCCACTTTCAGAAAAGCGTTTAAAACTATAACAATATGTCATCTTCACTCATTAGCTACATAAAACAGCATCAATTAAGAAATAATACATCGATTTCTGTCGAGTATAAAGTGATTAAATGGAAATACAAAATGAACCAGAAAAGAGATCGTAAATACATGTCTTACCAAACACGAGCAAAACAGTCACCAATGTCCACAAAACGGAGTTCATTTTCACCGCTTTTCGTCTTTACAAAAAAGTAAACTAAATGGAAATAAAAGCTCCGAACTTTTTAACGCAGCTCCCATTACCCCATGCCATCCCCTACATAATAGAAAGTAGGCCTAAGTAAATCGAAAGTAAAAAGGCTGCCTTAAAGCCTGTTGTTCCGGGAGGAGCTGGAGCTGGAGCTCTAGTTCCTCCTCGCTGGATGTAATGGCTGGAGCTAGACACCGTACCACACAACCATTCCCTAACCCATCCAGAGAGGGGGAGCTGGAGGTCATTTGGCTCTGCAGTGAGCAGTACTTGGTTGTTCCTCCAGCTTCCGCACTTAGTGCGAAGCTTGATTCGCTTTGCTAAAGCACGTGATCTGTGACGTCAATCTTCTTTCGCCTACAAACCACGTGACTGCGACTGGTTCAATGATGTTTTGGGTTAACTTGCAGGGTAGTGATAAGAATCATCGTACACGCACAACAATAGCTATGAATTCAATGTTTTTATGATAAAAAATGTTTTGTCTTTCATACAGATTAGATGGATCTAAAGATCCAATCGATCAAAAAGTTGGTATTGGAGTGTACATTTACAAAATCAGTAGGGAAAACAGTTTTATGGAAGGCATGGAAAGGCAGAAAGGAATGATTTTAAAGGGTGGAAGGAACAAATTCAGCACTTGCATTAACGGGGAAGCATGAACATGGTATGTGTGATGAATGTGATGTTTTAGACACAGTATGCGCTTTTTAAACGTAGTAAACACGATGATCAGAGTAGTCTTTTTATCAGTATAAAGAATAAACCAGCGAGTGCCGTGGACCTTTTGTGAAAGGGTTTGAGAGATGATCAGATATGCAGTATATGGCTGTTTTAAGCTTTTTAGAGCTTACAGGATTAGACCAAAGGATTTAGGCCTAGGGTCTGTGGATCATGATGCTTCTGCCCACCGTGGAGTTTGAGGAGTCCAGTGTGGAAGCTGGAGGAGCTTAATAATTAAAAGTCAATAAGCAATTCAATTTATGCTCAAATTAACTTTGCCTATGAAATAACAGATAAGGACTGAGGCAGAGTTCAAATAGACAGATCACAGATTGAATTTATACATTTATTTTTCATTTATTTTACTTATTTTACTGCCAGTACACAGACACAAATTAATGACTTTGACATTAATACACAAAACTAAACAAATAATTATTTGTAGAGCCAGATGTGAAACCACAGCGGCTGTAACAGCACTTTGGAAGGTGCTATTCATTTTTATGATCACTAGATGGCCACAACATACGGCACACTGTGTTGAAAAGCTTCGAGTTATGAATCCTTTTGTGATTGAGTTGAGAGAGGAAAGCCTCTTCACAAAGCTTCGTTTAACAACCACAACCTGCTGTTTCATGACAGTCATCAGCAGATGTCGCTGTTTTACAACTATGAGCTAATAAACAGGGCCAATTTGGTTGAGTTGTGGCCCAAATGATACACTGCACACTTACACTGTGTACTGTCGCTTAGTGTATGAATTTTAGCCCATGCATGTTGTTTCAAATGGTAAATTTAAAAAAAAATTATATATTATATTATATTATTACACAATGAGGCATTTGTCAGTCAAAGTGGCATTAAGTCTTGGATTGGATGATCACGCATGTTTAGACTAGGGTGCCATTTGATTTGGGACAGGCGCTGTTTACTATTTTATATATATATATATATATATATATATATATATATATATATATATATATATATATATATAACACAAATTTCCACACTGTTGAATAGATCTGAACTTAAAGGTGTTGTTCACCCAAAAAAATCATTTACTCACCCTCAAGTTGTTCCAAACCTTTATGAGTTTCTTCCTTCTGTTAAACACAAAAGATTATATTTTAAAGGATGTTGAAAGCCACTGACTTCGATAGTAGGGGAAAATAATATACTAAATACTACTCTCCATATCACTGCCATATAAAAAAAATAGCACAAATATAGTAAGAGTGGTATAATATTATATATTAAAACAGCTTGAACGATTCATAAAAAAGATAATCAATCAGTGCAGTACAGTGCTACTCGCGTACCATTGAAAATAAACACACCGTTACATTACACATCTATAATAAATAAGGACATTAGAATGACTGCTGACTAAATCATAATGTAACATGATGTTTCATTATTAGCAGCTATGCTGAAAAAATTCCTTTAAATAGTAATAATCAATTAATTTAAATGAAATATTATTACATAAAATGATTCATTGAGACATGATACAGTTATTCCAACATTAAAATGGTTTGATCTTTGACCTCTGACACTGATTTGGCCGTTTTTGATGAATTCAGTATTTTCTTTTACTGTAAAGCTGTTCTAGAGAAGATCAACTGAGAGGTTCATAGCAGAACAGGAAGAAGATCTTCGCCTACAAACTAAACTCACACACACACACTAAATGCCTACACACTGTTTGTCCTTCCAACAGATCAAACCATGTTTCTGAGGAAATCAGACTGCAGCAGGTTTCGGTTTGACTCAGAAGATGAGCTACTGGTGTCAGGGTATATTTCAGTAAATCTGGCCATGTGAGAGGCCAAGATGGTTTTGGGGTTTGCAGTTTGCAACTGAATACTTATAAAAGCCATTTTAAAAGAAGCTTTAACTATAAAATTAATGTTGACTAATACAATATTCACACAATATTACACTGTTCTACACTGTCAGAACTACATAAAAAAACTACAAATAAATATAAAACTGAATAATGTTTTTCTATTTTAAAAATGGGTAAAGTCTTGATTAAAACCAGAAGAATGTGTATATGTAACTATATATATATATATATAATATACATTCAGAGAGAAGGAAGAAGGACAGAGTGTGTGAACTAGGAGGGGGAGGATTTACACGCCAGGTTGTGTTTTCTCAGGGGACAGTGTTTTTAGAGCAGACACTGAAGAACAATAGACAATGGTTTGCACATTTGTTTTGTGCTATTTATTTTGGTGGCGTCTGACTGGTAAGTTACACAAGAATTTGTACAACTTCACTTGTTTCCATTTTAGAGTTCCAAAGCTGCTGATACTTTTAATTAACAATTATTAGTTGTTATCTGTATCACATTAACCAGTTAATCATTATTGTGAGATTAAGATTCAGGTAAAAGCATGCACATTAAATAACTGGTTCACACTCATCTGTCTGTTCTTATATCTCACATTTCATTTGTTTTATGTCTCTTGCTGTTCTATAATTCACATTTAAAGGTAACAAATACATAAAACTTTGTATACTTAAAGAACATCAATATGTTCTCCAGGTGTGTTTGGTTCTGAGACAAATGAATTGCAATCACTGTCAGTAGTGGCGGGAGATTCTGTCACTCTTAATACTACCATTACTGAAATACCTGAAGAAGATGACATACTGTGGAAATTTGGAGTTGAAAAGCCTCTGATAGCTCAAATAAATAGAGCTTATGGAATCATCAACACATATAATGAAGGGAGATTCAGAGACAGACTGAGGCTGGACAATCAAACTGGATCTCTGACCATCACAAACATCACAACTCATCATGCGGGACTCTATAAACTACAGATAAATGGAGCAGAACGGTCATCAAAAACATTCAGTGTTTCTGTCTACGGTGAGTAGAGATCATTTGTCCGGTCCTTCACATATTCTTTTTTTATTAGCTACATTATCAAATCACTAAACATTGTAATATTTATCTCTATCCTCTCATGTTTTCAGCTCGTCTGTCTGTTCCTGTCATTAGCATTAACTCTTCACACTGTACTTCATCATCATCATCATCTTCATGTTCATTGGTGTGTTCAGTGGTAAATGTGAGTCGTGTGACTCTCTCCTGGTACAAAGGAAACAGTTTATTGTCCAGCATCAGTGTGTCTGATCTCAGCATCAGTCTCTCTCTACCTCTGGAGGTGGAATATCAGGATAACAACACCTACAGCTGTGTGCTCAACAATCCCATCAGCAACCAGACTCAACGTCTCAACATCAGTCAACTCTGTCAGCCACGTTCAGGTACAACAGCACTGATTTACATGTTTTTACCTTCAGCTGTTGTAGATCAGGCTGAAATAATTCATTCAATAGCCATCTGTCTTCAGCTGTTACAACAGCAGGTCCGTGGACTCCTTCACATTCTCCGGACTCTGTGTCTCTGATAGTGCTGATCTCTGCTGCTCTTGTTGGATCTCTGTTGATTGTTGCTGCAGTCGGGATCTTCTACATCTTCAGGAGAAACAGAAAAACTGATCAAGAAGGCAAGTGCTTCCCTACTTCTTTAAACAAGTGTTATTGCAAATAATACTTTAAAAGTATACTAATATACTTTAATCAGTTGATAGCCCTACTAATTATTTAATCACAGTTCTCCTAGTCATTTTTGTAGTTCTTAATCTTTAGTTCCCTTATATGGAAAGTAACCAAAATAATGTGTTTTTGGTGTTTAGCAATTTCTGCAGATCCCAGCTCTAATAATAAAACATCTTAAGGAACATAGGTTAAAATGGAGTTTTGTTGTTTTAATTAATATATATTGTTTCAACAGTCCAGACTCAAGCAGAAGAATCAACGTATGCTGAGCCAACATTCTACAAAAGAAAAGCACATAAATCGGTAAGATCATTTACAGTATGTCATCGGTCTCTATCGCTTCATCAGTGACAGGGATTTAGATGTGCGCTTGTGTTTTTGTCTGTATAATGATCCATTACATGCATCACAAACTCAATAGCATCATATCAGATATTTATAGAAGCCATAAGATCATCATTCAATGCGATAAACTTTCTGAGCATTTCAAGGGTAAAGCTTATTATGAATGTGTTTGCATGTCTACATGTGTGACGGAGCTGAATGTGCAAGAGAACAGAAACACAACAGTCCATGAGAAAAATGTGCTTTGTAAATCATAAAATGACAATCAAAAGTTTGATATTGCTTTCTTATAGTGTATTAAATGAAACATCTGATATCTGCCCAGCTCTTTTAAGTCTAAACTTCTAATTCAGATTTTAACATCCATTCTAAAAGAATATTTGAATATTTGTTTATATCTCTGCGTGTCACTTATAAATTTACAAAATTGACCCTTTTTCTA